ACTACAATAATGTAGCTAAAACTTGAACATGATTATTTTAAGTCATATTTAACAAAGATTAGAAATGACTTAAATGACTTATATTTAAATTATCAATTATATAAAAATTCAAAGCATTTTCTTTTACTTTATACAAAGTATACAGAGTTAAGATTGAGATTGAAAGAGAAGTTTAAAGTAAAATAATTAAATTTGAAACTTTTATTCAATATAAAAACTGAAAATAAATTTTTGATTGAATATTTTAAAAAATTAAATATTGTTACAAGATTTCAATTGAATAATTTGATTTGATAATGAATTCAATTTTTATTTTCTTTTATTTTATTTTTTTTTTTTTGTTTCTATGCATTTGCTTTAATTTTAATTTTAATTTTTATTTTTATTTTATTACTTTTATTTTGAAATTTGTTTCATTTTGATTATTTTTGATTTTGACTTGTTTTGAAAAGTTTGATTTGTGAATACCTTCTTTTCTTTTAATAACTGCTGTTTTTTATACTTTTTATTTTATTTGTTTTAAATTGAATGTATTGATCTATTGTCATTCTTTTGACATTCTTTTTTAAATTGAATAGTTTGAATAATTGTTTGATTCTGAGCTGGAATTCTGCTATTATATGTATTAAATTGATTTTGTATATTAATTTATTCTTAAGTTGAAAAATTCTGAAGTATTTCAAATAGATATCATAATCACAGACTGCATACATTTATAATGAAAGAATAATAATAATAATTTTATTTATAATGAGAGAAGAAGTTTTAGAATCTGTATGATGTTATTTGAGCATCTGATTCGCGGCAGCTTCAATATATTTGATTGTGAGTGGGTAAAAATTAACATTTATCTGATGAATCCACATTTTAATAGCCTCCTCCTGGCTGTCATTCAACACTCAATTGAGTGGAACCCTTGTAGTCCTTGATTTCTTGCCATTAAGCCTTTCATACAAGGTTGTATATGAAACTTTGAATTCTTGTGACAGAGATGTGATTTTTAATGTTGAATTCTTTCTAAATGTGTCAATGGCATTTTGCAATTGCTTTCCAGTGTAATTGGAAGATTTAGACATTGATGGCGATAATTAATGAATATTTAAGAATGAAGATTGATGATATTTATAATATTTTCTGTACGGTGTGGTTTTCCGTACGCTGTGGCGCACTCACTAATGGTAAGTGAGTAGTGCTTGGCACAGTTAATTAACAACTTCGGGGAAACTCACCTCACCTCACTAGGAACCAGCTGGGCGGCAGAACGCTATCACGGCTTACAAGCCACATCAGTGGGCATGCACAGTCAGTTGGCTCTTGTTGCTGCAGACAAACAACGAATAACGGAGCCTCCACGAAAACACGAGAGTACGATTCCTCATCTCTTCCTACGAGCCAATGGCCATGTCACTAAGTCAACTTTCTCTCCATACGCACCGGTACCGCTAGAAGTCCACCAGACGTAATCTCCCATCGCGGCGTACCAGGGCCAACTGTGCTTGCTGTGGCGCAATCAGCGGAAGATGAGAATCCCGGCTCCTGGACACGTCCGGAATAATAATAGTTAATGCAAGCGAATTAGACTCCCAACTCATGGATTCAAGCTTAACTTCTCCAGCAAACTCTGTCAGGACTCCTGGAATACCGCAGATAGCAAACATATCTTATTTCTTAGCGTTTTCGGCCCATCACATGGCTGCCATTTCAACGGGCATCGTGAAATCCACAGTCACCAAGATTCCTTCTTCGCAACCGGCTCTTTTTCGATCCCGATGTCAATGGCATTTAGAACACCCCGTGGCGCTGTCTCAGACAAAAGAAAAAATGGAAAATGCCAATCCAACCCATGTCGGGTGCTAGTTTACCAGTTGTCTCGCTCGCTTTTCTACCCATCTTATCAACTGCAACAATCCGCGGGTCATCGATGATCACAGATCATTCTCCAGTTCGCAACGGTTAGCAAAATAAATACACTGTAAAAATCTCCAAAGATTCTTCTTAGAAAAAAGCCTACTTCCCGTCGCCCATTGCGTCATGGGTTTACATGCATCATTCAGATCTGCCACAACTTGGCCTACTTATTTTGGTTTGTTGAAACATCCATTCCCTGCAATTATGACGCCTTCATGAAACATGCAATCTCCACACCAGAAGGGTTGGTTTTTTGTTCGTGATTCGTCGAGTTTTTTCTTACCAGGCTTTTTTTTACAGGAATAATAGAAATATAATAGCGGTGAAAAATTCGTCCCGCGAAGCAGAATAATGAAGAAAACGGCGGCAGAAAACAACGTCCTTAAAACATTTATTTCGTTCTCGAAGCGGCCGCTCCTTTGTGTACGGGTCACCATGAATGTGCCTCATGTGGATTAGATCGATGACAGTCCTCCATTCGCGAAGTGCCCATTCCTCCAAGACACTCTCTACTGCGAACTTCCTTCCACAATTCCTGGGTGAAATCAGCTTATATTGGCAATAGAATTTTCTTTCCTGCCGTCCAACAAGCAAAAATTCCAATAGTTTGCTTGTCAATACTTTCCCTTTTTTCTTCACCTTTTTCAGCCGCCTTCTGAACAAAACTAGTAGCGTCATTGACTACGGCAACTGCGTGCTACTTGCTTTCGTCCCCTATTATCTTGTCATACACTGATACAGGGTGCAATTGGCGTTTATCGATCAAAGTA